TCGTCGTCCTCCTCCTCCTCCTCCTCCTCCTCCTCCTCCTCCTCTTTCCCTCCCCCTCTCCTCTTGCCGCTGTTTCGCCTTCTTCGCCTTCTTCTTCTTCTGCTCCGTCTCCTCTCCTGTTGCTCTTTTTGCCCTTTTTATTCATTCGCTTCCTTCTTTACTGTCCCATACCAGGACACCGCCACGATCGATTCGCACGATTCCCAGTCGAAAGAAGCGGGACGCCGGTGGTAGCGTGGCACGCCGCATGCACCGGGCTGCATGCGCGCCGGCGACAATCACGTGTGCATCCGTGTACAAGTTCCGCGTGTAGATCGCGCCAGAGTCCCTCCGTATAAATTGGGCCCCTCATTTACAGCGTAGGCTTCGCCGACGGGGTCGATCCGCGACGATTATGTTACGGTACCCGGGCGAGCAGGTGACGGGGGCGTGAACCTCGTGAAAACCGTGACAGGGGGGTTGTCCGGGTGAAACGCCGCCGGTTTCGGCGGCTATCAACCTCGATATCGGCGCGAGCTTAGTCCTCTCCGCCACTTCGTATGGGAATTACGTTGTGCAGGTGTGAGACGGCATGAGATCGTCCTGAAGGGTTAAGGGAGAGAGAGAGGATGTCTCGAAATTTTAGTGATGTCCAGATAGACTTTCACGATTATCATGACGTGAGACATAATCGGTGATTAAAGGTCTACAACTTCTTTTATTACTTTCATGAGGTATAAATATATTCTGTCGAATTGACAGTAATACAATAATACGAATTTTTCTGTTGCATTGGTGTAGCAAATTTACTAAAGGTTACGTGACATCGCTTTGCGCGAATTTTGATCATTTCTTTCGTATCTCAATTTCGTCATTCCATATTATGAATATGCGACTGAAATGGTTGCTGACTAAATTAAAGAAAATTACACGGAGACGTGTGAAGGGAAGCTCTATAATCACGTGCACGCTGAAGTAATCCGGCTTGATAATAGTGTAATAATAAGAAGACTTGAGAGAGAGAGAGAGAGAGAGGGTGACAGAGA